GGGGGGGGGCAAAGGGAGATAGGACACATATGTAATACCTTAATCAATTAAGAAAAAAAACGTACACACCAGGGAGTCCTGGCCGGCCTGGAGCAGAAACTGAAGGAGTGCAGGATGGAGGAGTGCAGGTGTGTGGACCTCAAGCTCACTGTGGAGATGAAGGACAACCTGAGAAGGCTGAGGCCACACCATAGCACTGGGTACCACTTGGAGAACATGGACACTGCCACAAACTGTATCCGTCAACTTTGCAACAGCACTCAAGAACAGACCTCTTTGGCTCAGTTGGTTAGTTGAGCATCGTCCTGTGCACCATACAGTTGCTGGTTTAATTCCTAGTGAGGGCACATGCCTGGGATGGGTTGTGTGCTTGATCCCTGTAGGGGGTGTGCAGGAGGCAGGTGATTGATGTTTCCCCCTTTCTCCCTCTCCCTCTCCCTCTCAATACAAATAAATCTGCAAAAAAAGAAAAAGAACAGACCACTTTCTGTCACGGTCACAGGCAAAGGCACCGTCCTCCAGAAAGCCAAGGAATGGGAGAAGAAAGGAACAAGTTGGGAAACAAGTTTCATCTAGATTAAGATCTCCTGTCAATATGGGCCTGGTGACAATCCTGCTTTGTTCAAGTCTTCGTTAAAGCAGCAACTCTGTGAAAGGGAAGGAGATCTCATCTCTGGTGAAGTAATACCTGGGGCTAAAGACATGAATTTCATATGCAGCTTCCCACCTCCCACGTCTCTAGAGAAGAAATCAGGGAACTCAGTAAGGATGCTTCAGCTACATGTACCTGTCAAAGCTTGAGAGGGGGGTTGAAGTGGGAGTGGGTGGAGACAGAACGATGTTCTCCAGAGCTCCCCACAGTGGTGTGTCACAAATCAACTTCATGGGTGTGAAACAATGAAAAACATCAGGACACGTTTCCATAGAAAGGGCAAGCACTGTTCCATGAAAGCTTGTTTCCGTTATGTGCATGGTTATGTGCTGTGCATGTATTGGGAATGTACGTTCCTGTGGGCTGCCATCAGAGAGTGGAAAGCTGCTCTCCTAGAGCATGCTTAGATTACAAGCTCCTTGTTAACAATAACAATAAATAATGATTAATAATAGCAACATTTACAAATGTGTTTATAAACACTTCTAGATGTATGGGCTATCTCTAGAGGAAAGCATGGGAAACTGCTATTGGTGGCAGCCTCTGGGCAGAATTAGGTGATTGGGGTCAGGAAAGTCCTACATCTTGACTTTTCACTGGATGTCATGTTTCATTTGAAATTTTCACCATGTTTCTTTTATTTTTTTAATAATATGTTTTTTATTTCAGAGAGGGAGAGGGAGATAGAAACATCAATGATGAAAGAGAATCATTTATCAGCTGCCTCCTGCACGCCCAGGCATGTGCCCTGACTGGGAATTGAACCATGTCCTCCTGGTTCATAGATCGATACTCAACCATTGGGCCACACCAGCCGGGCACATATGTGTTTTTATTATACTACTAGAAGCCCATTGCACAAAGATTCACGCAATAGGCCTTCCTTCCCCTGGCTGCTGGCACCGGTTTTCCTCCGGCACCCGGGACCCAGGCCTTTGGTCCAGCCACAACGGAGAAGCCAAGCCTCGAGTCTTCAGTCTTTGCTCTGTGCCTGTGTATGCAAATTAACCGCCATCTTTGTTGGGTTAATTTGCATAGTCACTCTGATTGGCTGGTGGGGGTAGCAGAGTGACACCAATTTGCATGTTTCTCTTTTATTAGTGTAGATTTTCATCACCTAAGATAGTTTTTAAAATTATCTGACAATTAAGGGAACATACACATAAACTTCAGCATATACAGGTGCTTAAGGCTATTTCATATAATCATTCATTCTACTGTCTTGGCACAGAGAAAGTGGACAAATTTTGAAAGAACAAAATTAAAAACTAAACAAAATTAAAAAATACTCACTCTTGAAGCCCCTCTTACTTGTCCAGGTACTATTTCCAACCCCCCTTTTTGGCCAGTAATCCAGCTCTTTTACACACACACAGTCTTACATTTTTCCAACAAGTATTTATTATTAGTTAAGCCATGATTCAGGATTCTAGGGTGGGATGTACCCAGGCCCCCCTTCACGCCCCTGGGAAAAGGATGGAGGATGCCCAGTTCAGATCTTCCCAGGAAACGTGCCTTCTACCCGGCGGTCATCCCAGGCTGAAACCTGTGGAAAGAAAGCCAGTGTTATTCCCATTGTTACTCCCTTCCTCTATGGGGAAACCAGATGGGTGGACTTCTTAATTTTTCTCGCTTTGCCTACCTGTTCATTTCTTCAGTCAACTAATAACCCCAGTACCTACACAGTTCCAGGAGCTGGGGAACCAGCAGTGACCAGAAAGATAAGAATCACTGTGCTGCGTGGCTGGCGTGGCTCAGTGTTTGAGCACCAACTTATGAACCAGGAGGTCACAGTTCGATTCCCGTTCAGGGCACATGCCCGGGTTGTGGCCTCCATCCCCAGCGTGAGACATGCAGGAGGCAGCCAAGTAGTAATTCTGTCTCATCATTGATGTTTCTATCTCTCTCTCCCTCTCTGAAATCAATAAAAATATATTAAAAAAAAAAAAAAAGAATACTGTCCTGAATGAAACTGTCACAGCTGAACCACTAAAGGGGTGGGGGGAGGAAAAATAACACAGAAAAATCCCCAGTTTACTGCAGGGCTGTTCATGGGGAGATATGTGAGGTACAGAGCTTCAAGAGAGTGGTTATGCCCTGCTTCAGGAAACCGAGTCAACACTCAATGATGTTTGTCACAATAGAGGAAAGAAGAAATACTAGGCAGCTGTGAAAAAAGTAAGGCTGATCTATGCTCCAGCACAAATAGATCTCCAAGACATAGTCAAGTGCAAAAAGATGCCAAGTGGAATAAAGAGTAGGATACCAGTGTTAATCACAGATGTTGTCAAATAATTCGGTTCTCAACCAAGTTGTTCACAGATATAATGTTGAACAAAAACTTCAGTTCTGACAACCCTTTCATGCTGATGTATCAGCATGAAAAGAAGCGTCTCTCAGGCCATAAACAAAGGAGAGAATGTGAGTCACTTTACCCCCAAACCTCACTGCTTGTTAACATCTCAGGAAATTTTGCTGTGAATATATATATATTTTGCTTTTTAAAATTTTTTTATTTTTAATGATTTCAGAGAGGAAGGGAGAGGGACAGAGAGATAGAAACATCAATGATGAGAGAGAATCACTGACTGGCTGCCTCCTGCACGCCCCCTACTGGGGATGGAGCCCACAACCCAGTCATATGCCCTTGACTGGAATCAAACCCGGGACCCTTCTGTCAAAAGGCCGAGGCTCTATCCACTGAGCCAAACTGGCTAGGGCGTGCTGTAAATATTTTTGTTTTTGCTTTTGTTGCTGGCAAAATGGACAATTAGCACAATTTTAAAGCATAAAGAGGCCATCAAGTGCTAATGTTGTTCAATCTCCAGACAGGGCACACAGAACAAGCAACCAATGAATGCATAAATAAGTGGAACAACAAACTGATCCTCCCACTTCCATCTCTCTCCCCCACCCTCAAATAATCAATAAAATTAGCCCTGTCCAGTGTGGCTCAGTTGGTTGAGCATAGACCCATGCACCAAAAGTTTGCCAGTTCCATTCCGGTCAGGGCACATGACTGGGTTGCAGGCTCAATCTCTTGTAGGGGGCATGCAGGAGGCAGCCAATCGATGTTTCTCTCTCTCCCTCACTCTAAAATCATAAAAACAAATTAATTAAAATAAAGAATTCAGTTATCAGGGCTAAAAGGACTGACTGCCTTAGTGTCCATATTTTTTAGAGATACACATTAAAGTAGGAGGGGTGAAATGACATGCTGGGATTCACTTCAAAATACTTCAGTGACAAAAGAAAGAAGAGGGATAGATGAAGGAAATGTGGGAAAGTTTTGACATTATTCAATTTGGGTAATGGGTATATTTGGTGGTCACTGAATTATCCTACTTTTATGTATATTTGAAAATGCTCGTGATAAAAAAGGACAGGATTGCACAAAATGGTGAGCTCCACAGGGACAGGAACCAGCACTGAGTATATATCTACAGAGTGCGTGAGCAAGATGGATTTAGCAAGAAGACAGCTCTGGTCACCTTGGCTGAGAGCCCTGACTTATTGAGTGTATCAGTGAAAGAAGAAAAGGAAGGCAATTCTAGGAAGAAAAGGACAAGTCCCATGGACAGTGCGATGCCCTGTCTTCCCTCTGCCTCTTGCAGCTGACCTCCCACAAAGTCACCAAACTTCCCTCTCCTAAGACCCCACCCCTGTATCCCAAGGGCCCCAGCAGGAATCACTTACCCAGGATATGGGACACAGGGACTTGTACACACGCCGGTACCATTCACACACAGAGACATCACCCCCTTTAGCAGTCATTGCCTTCTCACAGCGGTGGAAGTCTGTGAAAAAAGGGGTTCAGGTTCAGCCCAAAGGACTAGGACACTTTTTAAAAAAAAAATACTTTTATTGATTTCAGAGAGGGAAGGAGAGGAAGAGAGAGATAGAAACATCAATGATGAGAGAGAATCATTGATCTGCTGCCTCCTGCACGTCCCCTACTGAGGATCGAGCCCTCAACCTGGGCATATGCCCTTGATTGAAATCGAACCTGGGACCCTTCAGTCCGCAGGCCAATGCTCTATCCACTGAGCCAAACCAGCCAGGACTGGAACACATTTTTTAACAAAACTCATAGAAATACCCTTTTACCAGATACACACACACACACACAATTTTACAAAGAATGTATACCCTTACAAGTGCACTAAAAAGGGTTAGATATAAATCACTAAGTTGACTTTGCAAACTCTAGAGAACTGCTGTTTAACTGGAAATCTCTGGGGTCAGGCCCTAGGAGGTTTCACTCAGTGGGTAAGAGCACTGGCCCATGGACTGAAGGGTCCCGGGTTCGATTCCAGTCAAGGGCATGTAGCTCGGTTGCAGGCTCTATCCCTGGTCCTGGTTGGGGCACGTATGGGAGGCAACCAATTGATGTTTCTCACTCTCTGTCTTTCCCCTTCCCTTCCATTCTCTCTAAAAATCAATGGGAAAATATCCTTGGGTGAGGATCAACAATAAATAAATAAATAAATAAGTTATTTGCTAAAAAACAAAAAACAAAACTCTGGGGTCAAGACTGATGGGGCAATATGAGGGGCATGTGCAGGGATAATGGAAATCCAGAACCAGGGCAAAGGAAGAGGAAGATAGTCTTGATGCTAAAATGCTAGTCTGAGAAAGGAAGACAGGCATGGGATAATCTGGTTTTTAAAAGTAAGCAATTAAGCCCTAGCCAGTTTGGCTCAGTGGATAGAGCGTCAGCCTGCGGACTAAAGGGTCCCAGGTTCGATTCTGGCCAAGGGCACATGCCCGGGTTGTGGGCTCGATCCCCAGTGGGGGGCGTGCAGGAGGCAGCTGATCAATGATTTTCTCTCATCGATGTTTCTATCTCTCTCCCTCTCCCTTCTTCTCTGAAATCAATAAAAACATATTAAAAATGAATAAATAAATTTTTAAAAAGTAGGCAATTAAACCCGGTTGATATGTCTCAGTGGTTGAGCATCAACTCAATAACAAAAGGGTCACTGGTTCAATTCCCCAATCAGAGCACATGCCCCAGCTTTTGGGCTCAATCCCCAGTGGGGGGCGTACAGGAGGCAGCCAATCAATGATTCTCTCTCATCAGTTTCTATCTCTCTATCACTCTCCTTTCCTCTCTCTCTAAAAATCAATAAAAACACACTTTTTTTGAAAGTAAGCAATTAATTAGCCTTGGCCAGGTAACTGTGTTGGTTATAACAGTGTCCAGATACGCCAAGGTTGCAGGTTCGATCCCTGGTCAGGGCACATACAAGAATCAACCAATGAATGCATAAATAAGCGGAACAATGAATTGATATTTCTCTCTCTCTCTCTCTCTCCAATAAAAAAATAAATGCATAAGTAAATGTAAGCAATTAATTTTTTAAAAATCAATCCAGGTATTCCACTTCTGGGCACATTCCTTAGAGAGAAAAGCATTCACATGGACATCAGATTACACCTACAAGAATGTATATAGCAGCATTACTCCTAAGAGTCCCAACCTGGAAACCACACAAGTGACCATGAATAAAGTGTGGAAAACTTTACAGCAATGAAAATGAGCAAACTACATATCATAGCACAGCTGAAACTTCAAAACTGTTGACTTAAAAAAAATTCAACACAAAAGAATACATACAGTATTTATAAAGGTCACAAAGGCAAACCTAAACGTGATGAGAAAACCAAAATGTGGTTGCCTTAAGTCAGTGGGGTTACATCTCTACTGGAGAGAATAGGGTGTTGTGCTCAATACAGGATGTGCAGTAGGCAGGAGAGTTCAGAGTTCAGGCAACATCTACTTTTTTTATCCAGGTTATAGTTACACAGGGGTTCACTTTAGAATTATTCATTTACCTGTACATTATGTTTTCTGTACTTCCCGTATGTATGTTCCATCACACACATACACACACACACACACACACACACACACATCTTATTTTTAAAACTGATTTGAGAGACAGAGAGGGAGAGAGAGAGAAACATCAATTTGTTGTTCCACTTGTTTATGCATTCATTCGTGTATGTGCCTGACCAAGGATTGAACCCACAACCTTGGCATATCAGGAAGATGCTCTAACCAACTGAGCTACCCAAGCCATGGCCCCAAATAAATCTTTAAAAAAAGAAGTCATTGTAGGAACCAAAGTTTGTGGCACTGGCCCAGACCTTGAACATAGTTGATAAGGAGCCTAGGTCCTGTGAGGTAGGATGTCCATAAATAAAAAAGGCTTGAGATTCGTGGGTCCCCAAGGAGGCAAGAGGTGAGCAACTTCAGGTATGGGAACAGGGGAAGAGCTGCATTCCCCCACCACCATGACCTGCTTACCAAGGTAGTTCTGCCAACAGTTCCTGGTCTGGTTCTGGTTGGGGAAGCGGCTGTCGAAAGGAGCAGTCCGGTAGTTCTTGATTTTGGTCTTGATGTCTTCTGCCATGTTGCTGATTCCTAGAAGCAAAGAGAATGGGTGTTAGCAGGGGTTGTATAGGGCCTGGACCTGACCATGTCAGCCCACCCAGGCCCAATGGGGACCCAGATACAGAAGATGGGTTGGGTGTGAATAAGCCACTACCTCAGTGATGGCGAACCTAGGACACGTGGGTCAGAGGTGACACGCGAACTCATTTTTTTGGTTGATTTTTCTTTGTTAAATGGCATTTAAATATATAAAATAAATATCGAAAATATAAGTCTTTGTTTTATTATGGTTGCAAATATCAAAAAATTTCTATATGTGACACGGCACCAGAGTTAAGTTAGGGTTTTTCAAAATGCTGACACGCCAAGCTCAAAAGGTTCGCCATCACTGCACTACCCCCTCCCAGTCAACATACACACGCAGATGTGAAGGACAGAGCAAATCCATACGTCTAAATGTGTAAGTCACAGCAAAGTTTGGAGGGAGGGGCAACTCCTTGGTAAAATTAGGCCTTATCTGTCACAAAATAACACTAGCTAACAGGCATTGAGCGCTTACTACAGGCCAGGTGCTGTCCTACACTCTTACAGCTTTACTGCTGCAGCCAGTCTAATAAAAGGTAAGAACTATTACTGTCACCGTTTCTCAGACAAGTGTCTAAATGACTTCTCAAGGTCACATAGTATACAACTAGTGGAACTACACTCAACCATTAACATAATGTACAATGCAGAGATTCTTAATGTCTTTGGTGCCACGAACTCTTCAGAGGGATCTAGTGATCCTTTTCTTAGCACATGTTTAAGTGCATTAAAAAATTGCACAGCCCTAACTGGTTTGGCTCAGTGGATAGAGCATCGGCCTGTGGACTAAAGGGTCCCAGGTTCGATTCAGGTCAAGGGCACATGCCTGGGTTGCCTGCTCCATCCCCAGTAGGGGGCGTGCAGGAGGCAGCCGATCAATGATTCTCTTTCATCACGATGTTTCTATCTCTCCCTCTTCCTTCCTCTCTGAAATCAATAAAAAAAAAAATTTTTTTTAAATTGCACGGGCTCACAACGATAACTACTATATGTAGCTGAGGTTTTATTAACCACTACAGTTTTGAAGTAATCATGAGTAAAAATATTTTGTGCTATCTGCAACCATTTGATTGCTGACAAAGTCACAGATGCTAACATTCCTGAGGTTGCTGCCTCCATGCCTAACAGAAGCAAATGCTACATTTCAATTAGAGGTTAGTAAAAATGCAGACGTAATTTCCCCTCACTGGAGTACTAGAACCCCTTGAATTCTATAGATTCTGTAGACACAGGGTTAAAAAACCTCTGGTACAATGTCTCTTATGAGGCAACACACAGTTTTCACCAGGGAGCCTGAGAGAAACTGCCTCTATTCCAGAGATTTCGAGGAGTCGTGGGTTTGCGCCGAGGTGAGCAAGCCGGTATTAAACTGAAGCGATCCAAGGCAGTGTAGGGATCTGGACGCCAGAGCAGCCTGGGGAAGGAGGCGCGGGAGAAACGAGGCCGGTGTAGAACACCAGCGGCTGGGACACAGATGGGTCGGAACAGTAAAATGGGACGAGATCTTGACCCGCTATTTGGGTGAGGGTGGGTCCGGATGACACTGTGACCCCTCCAACGCCCAAGGGGAGAGGAGGGGCCAGACACCAGGGCGCTAGGCTGCGGCCCTGGCAAACTGCGGGGACCCACGGCTGTGGCCCGGGGATTAAGGGCACCGCCGTCCAAACCACTGAGTCCAAATCATGGTCGCTGGCTAAGCAGCTTAAGACCTCTGAGCCTCCGTTGCCTCACTGTCAAAAGGGACAATTACAGGCTGGGGAGAAGGGGGAGGACTAAATGAATTAATATAAGTCACTTGGAATGTTGCCCGGCATTAAGGGAGAACTAAACGTTAGCTATGACTACTAACCCACCAGAACCCCAGGCCCCCGCAGGAGGCCGAACGCCGCCGTCCGGAAACCTCACCTCGTTCTCGGGGAAGCTAGGATCCGGTTCCTCAGTCCCCCAGGATGGGATGCCGGGCACCCGAACCCTCGGCACTCACCTAAAGACGCCCCTGAAGCCGCTCGCAGCTCAATGTGACCTCAGCTAAGAGACTCCTCCGTCTGACCGGAAGCGGAATTAAAACGGGCCGGAAGCCGGCGGGATAGGTGAGTCTTTCCCCCGGCTAGAGCGCCCTCGGAAAGGCGGTCCCTGAGGCCAAGTAAGACTACGCCCATTCATGAGAGCCCCAGTCTTCTATTGGGCTGATAGCTGTTCATCAACACTCCAGGCCCAATCATGAACTTGCACCGGCTAGTGACAGGTTCTCATCACTTCCTTGGCTTTACCTGGAGAAAGAAATTCTGTCTGGGTCCTGGTGCTGGCTCGAGAGTGGGCCTGGGAAAAGACCCAAGCGGGAGTACCCTTTTCGTGCAAGTTTTATTTGTTGAATGCCAGGTACTTTTGTAAGGGTTGGGGATGCATCCTTGAACAAAAGACAACCCATACCCTCTTTATGATTATTTGAGGTCAATTGTTGGGGTATTGAAAAAGAACCAGCCTTTCTCGCAGGGTCATTTGTCATGTTAAGAGGAATGCCAGGACTCCACTTCCAAACCCCAGAAAGATTTGGGTGGCTGAGGACTCAGAAATCAGTCCTGCATCACGGAGAGGAGGGGTTAAGAATTAAAACTGGGTTCTGTGAAGGATCTGGCAGAAATCGGTCCATCTGGGAAATTGGCAACTCTATTCTTTGTCCTTGACTCCTATCTTTCTCTCACGCCTTATAGCTGATCTATCTAGAAATCCTGTTGGCTCTGCCTTTAAAAATATACTCAGAATCTTCTGCCATCTGGTTCAAGTCACCAGCACCTCCAGCCTGGACTATGACAGTAGCCCACTCCCTGGCTTCCCTACTGCCCTCCACAATCAAGTCCACTCAGCCAGAGGGACCCTGCTAACACCTGCCAGATCATTCCCCCTCCTTAACTTAGAACCCTACCCTGGTGTCTGGTCTGACTTTTAATCTAAAGCAAAAGTCCTTACAAGTGACCTACACAGTTGGGCCCCCCTTTTTACCCTCATCTCTGTAAAAACTGAAAAAAACCTTATTCAAAATGGAGTTGGAAAATCCTGAAGGGAGAGTTCTCATGCACGCATAATGAAAAAGAAAGATAAGAATTATTTTTAAAAAATATTTTTATTAATATCAGAGAGGAAGGGAGAGGGAAAGAGAGGTAGAAACATCAATGGTGAGAGAGAATCATAGAGAGGCTGCCTCCTGCACGCCCTCCACTGGGGATTGAGACCTAAACCTGGGTATGTGCCCTGACCCGTAATCAAAATGTGACCTGGTTCTAGGTAGACTCTCCCTAGAGCAGTGATAGCGAACCTATGACACGTGTGTCAGAGGTGACACGCGAACTCATTTTTTTGGTTGATTTTTCTTTGTTAAATGGCATTTAAATATATAAAATAAATATCAAAAATATAAGTCTTTGTTTTACTATGGTTGCAAATATCAAAAAATTTCTATATGTGACACGGCACCAGAGTTAAGTTAGGGTTTTTCAAAATGCTGACACGCCGAGCTCAAAAGGTTCGCCATCACTGGACTAACCATTTGAAATTGCCATCTTGTCAGCCTCTATCTCCCTTCTCTACTTTATTTCTCCATAGCACTTATCCTCTCAGACATGACATCCTTTTATTGTGTTTACCTTCTTTTGTAAAAGCGGGTCTAGGGGCCTAGTCAATGTAATAGAAGATCGTAAAGGAGCAATTTTTGTCTTATTCACCATTGTATCTCCAGCACCTGAAATATCACCTGGCACATAGGAGGTACACTATAAATATTTGTTGAAAGAGTGAATTTCTTGTGTGAATAAAGCGCCTAATGTGGACTGGACAAAGGAGCTGTGGGAAAGAACTGCTTTCATCCTCCTCTTGGTCTGGCCTCCAAACCCTCCCATATACTGTGTTGGGTGCAGTGCCCAGGCCTTACTGGGTTAGGGGCTTCTTATATTCTGTGTTCATCAACATTGTAATTATTTGTGGAACTACCTGTTTATATGCCTTTATTCACTCCCTTCAACAAAATCTTCCTAAAGCCCAAATCCTTTCCATGATTAACCTCTCTATGGTTCCCCTGTGACCTCAGGACAAAATCCAGGCTCCTTAGCATGGCCCCACAGATTCTTTGTGAACTGACCCAGGGTCCTCTCTCCAACCACAGTGATATTTCAGTTCATTGAACAGTGCTATGAGATCTCCTACCTCCAGGCCTCTGTCCATGCTGCTTCTTCTGCCTGGAACATTCTTTGCCTGACTTCTAAAATCAGCTGTTTTTTCCCTCCTGGAAGCCTTTCCTGACCTCCTCTTCCCCAGGCAAGGTAAGGTTCCTCCTTTTGGATCCCTCCATACCCTGGAGTTTTCCTATCCCAGCCCTGACCACTCTGGGCTGTCCCTGTCTGGTGATGAGTCTGTCTCCCTTAAGGGCAGGGTCCAGAGTTGCCTTAGTCACTGTTGTATCACCAGCATTCTCCACAGGACCACTCAGAAAGCTCTCTAGGGGCTCAGTGGTTCCCAGAATGGGCAGGCTCTTCTTGGAGTCTAGGTCTGAGTTCTATGTTCCCCAGCTTGGGTGGGGAAAGAGTAGGTGGCTGGGGGAGGGGGGGAGGCGGGAGGTGGTGGTAAGCACTAGGTCTAATTCCTTGCCAGTCCCTAACATTGTGAGAGCACACAGTAAGCCCTTTTTGGAGCCCCAGTCCTCTTTTCAAGGGGGACAGAGTAGGAAAAGTCACAAGTTAGTGATTGGGTCTGATTTCTTTACCAGTTCCAGCACAGGGCAGGCACACAGTAGAGCCTGTGGGGGTACTGAGTTAGAATCCTTTGCATGTCTCATCACACATTGAGCACACAGTAAGTCCTCTAGGTCTGGGTCTATTTTGGTCATGTGTGGGAGGGGTTTGGTGGGTGCGGGTGCACACAGGCTCCCCAGCGGGTCTAGGGACCTAGTCAGTATCATTGAGAAGGATGCAGACAGCACACGAAGGAAGTTTGACCGGATATTTTTATTGGGTTGCTGCTCCCTGTCGGACCCTAACCCCAGCGTTGTCTGGATAAGCTAGGCCGGGCACGCGGCCCCCAAAGCGGTACGTGTACTTGCGCCCACCGCTCTTTCGCACGATGTCCCGGCGGTAGTAGTAACGCAGGCCTCGGCTCAGCTTCTCGTAATTCATGCCGGGTTTTCTCTTGCGCTCACCCCACAGTCGCGCCACCTAGGGCGAAGGCCAGGCTTAGTCAGAGAAGGTGGGAGCGGGAGGGCTTAGCAATAGATGGGCAGGGTTCCGTAAAGTCCGGACACAGGTTAGGTAGGGCAGAGTGCGGTTGAGGTGAGGGCATGCTGGGCGGACCAAGGGCGAGGCAAAATGAATGGTGGTGCTGAGTTAAACTAGAGGAGACTAGGGCCGGACTGGGCGGGTCTGGGAGGCTGCCCCACCTCTTTGGGGTCGCACAGTTGGAACTCGAGGCTGTTGCCTGTCCAGCGGATGCAGCTGCTACGCGCCTCGTCTTGGAGCAGCTCCAGGAGGAACTGCCAGAGCTGAATGGGACCTGCGGGGGGCGGCAGGTGAATACTCAGGTTTTCTGGCCCTGGTCCAGGTCATTTCGATGACCCAGGAGTCTGGGGTCCCTCACCTCGAAGGTCCAAGGGTCCAGGCTTCCCCAATCGGGACCTAGGAGTCCGGATCCCCTCCTCCTTGGGGACCAGCGAGTCCAAATCCCTCCATATAAGGGATCCAAGAGTCAGCCTCAGGCCCCATCTCGGAGATTTGGGAGTTTGGCTGCCCGCTCTGAGACCTCGGCATCCAGACCCTCCTGTCTTCCCTGTTGCCTGATTCAGGAGCTCAGGTCTTCGTCCCTTGCTCCCTAGAAGACTGACTACCTTGGACTCCGGAGTGCGGGCTTAGGCACCTAAGTCCCGCCCTCTCCGCCAGTTTCCCGGGTCCCACCCCCTTCGGCGTCCAGGCCCGCCTCCCTAGACTCCAGCTTCGCTCCCTGCAGACCAAGTCTCCGGACCTCTCACCTCGGTGGTTAGTTTTGGGGTAACGAGCCAAACTTGCGCGGTCCAACTGCTGCTTCGGTTCGGAGGAAGCGGTGAGATCGGAACTCTGGTGCTCCTTGGAAGAGGTGGGGCAAGCCGTATGCAGCCCCGAGTCCCAGGAGGTGGGACAGTCCGAGCCCCCAGGCCCGCCCCAGGGAATGGAGTCGGCGCGCCCCTCCGCGCGGAGGCCCTGGCTCCAGTATGCGGCGCCGTGGGAGCCAAAGGGACAGTCCCGGCCGGGGGAGCTCGCTGTGGTGGGGGCGCGCATCCACGAGTGGGTCCCGCCCGCGGAGATGGTAGTGTGGTGGCCCGCGACCCCCGGAGACTCAGCGGAGGGGGCGGGGCCCAGCGCCGGCGGGACTCGGCTCCAAGCGTCCCACCCGGTGCATCCCCGTTGTATCCAGTCTCCTGACCACGAAGGAGCCTGAGAGGCGTGCTCTGCGAGGAGGAACGGACCGCAGTGAGGGGAGGCCAGCTGTCCCGCCCCCTGGCCCCCTCAGGAGTCCCCTGGCTCCCGGATCTGGGCCAGGCCACGTGGAGGACACAAGCGTCCCCAGTCCTATCTCCATTCTCCCCGCAAAAGTCAGGGAAGCTAAACTTCAGCCATGGTGGAAGACCCCAGACTCCTTCCCCGCCTCTCCGCACACACTCACCCGCCCCCCATGGAGTTTCTGGGTGCGGTGACGCGGAGCTCCGGTCCCAATGTGGGAGTCCTACGAGGGGTAAAGATGTAGCTGAGTTTAGGGAAGGGTGTGAGCAATGCCTCGAGCACCCCCGCAACCAGTCACCCAGTAGTCTTTATTTGTCGGCGACTGGGAGTCCCTATTACCCCCCGCCCCTACTCATGCAGACCTAGGACTCAGGACCCAGCCCCCTCCTCTTTCAGCCTCAGGAGTTCAAGCCCGCAGCCCTCTCCCCACTAAACCCCAGGAGTCCAGGCACGCCCCCTTCCTCCCTCAGACCTAACCTTCCCCAGCACCCAGGGGGCCCAGCTCACAAACACCTTTCCAGCATGTCTCTTCTGTCAGTGTGTCCCCTTGGAGCGCCACTTCAGGGAAACAGAAGCCGAGCTCAGCTCCTTCTGCAGGCAATCAGATTCGGGCTGGTCAGGGTCAGCAGAGGCCCCCATCTGGGCACCCCCCCCCCCACACACACACACAGTTCAGCCCCACAAACCTACCCAGCCTTGACAGCGTGTTTCCCAGGGGCACTTCCTGTGGTGATGCTTCATCCCACTTCCACAAGTCCATGGATGCTTGTTGTGAATGTTCTGGGCAGGGGCGAGGAAAGGCACAGGGTGAGCTGGGGACACTAGGGACCCTGCAGTCTGGGCCCCAGCCCTTGCTTCTCTCAGACACAGTAGTTCGGCCCTCTGCTCCCTTCTTCCCCAGGACCCTGGAATCTTGGCCTCCAGTGTCCTTTTTGCTCAGACCAGGAGGGACCTCAGCCCTTTTTCCTCAGACGCAGTAGTCCAGACCTCCAGTCCCCAGTTCATGATGGCTCACCTCTGGTGGGTTCCTCTGTCCCCACCTGGGGGTCTCAGCCCCATTTCATACCATGCATCCCCTCCCCTGGGGGCCTGGACAGGGGGGAATTTTCCAAGACGTCAGAGCTGGGGGTTGAAGCTAGGTCGAGTTGCAGGGGGCTGGGCGGGGCTGAGCTACACTCCTCTCGCCTCCCCCCCCTCAGGGATGGCCGCCTGCCTCCTGTAGCTGGGGCTGTCCTGCTGCAGGGATGGCTAGGACTTGGACAGAAGCTTGGGGAACAGCAGGCTGGGCAATGGGGGATGCAGGGGGGTGATGGGAGTGGGACAGGGGGCTTGGCGGACAGGTTCTCCATCTTGGGGACCTGATTCTGCGAAATGGGTGGTGGAGGTGGGGAGGAGGGTTTGGGTACAGCTGGGCTGGTCCAGGCTTATCTGCAACAGGAAGGGGGATTTCCGGCCAGACCCTTGGTCTGCCTACGTCACAATCCACAGGGGGACTGAGGGGGATGGGATGGAGGGGAGGCCTGACCAGGCTTTGAGTTCTCCCCTTCCAGGGCTTTGAGGACATTCCGGGGCTGCTCTGGAGCAGCATCAATCATAACAATAGCATTAAAAAAATAAACAATAACAACAGAAATAGCCCGCCCTAGTTGGGCTGCAGGTTTAATTCCCGATTAAGGGCACATACCTGGGTTGCAGGTTCCATTCCCTGCCCTGGTTGGGGCGCTTGCGGGAGGCAACCAATCAACGTGTCTCTCCCTCCCTCCCTTCCACTCTAAAAAAAAAAAAAAAAATATCCTTGGGTGCGGAGGATTAACAAAAAATAACAGTAATACTGATAGCTAACATTTTATTGAGGGCTCATTGCATGCCACCAACAGTGCCATGGGCCTTCATTTAATTTTCTTATGAGGTAGATACAAGTCTGATCTCTATTTTATGAAAAGAGGAAATTGAGGGAGACTTTCTTCATCTCCAGAGTCCATGCCCTTCCATGCTGTAATAGTTTGGGACAAATGGGAAATTTGAGTATAAACTGAATATGACATATAGAATTACTAATTTTCTTAGATGTGACAGTGGTATCATGATATGAATGATGTCTCTATAATGAAATGAACACTGAGATATTTAGGGGTGAAGTATTATGATGTCTATAACTTGCTTCAAATGATTCAGCAACCCTCCCCAGGTCTTTGTTTTTGAGCCTCTCTCTCTCTTCTACCCATCTCCAGTCCCATTGTACTGCCTCACAGTACTCCTATTTCTTCATTTTTCTGCTTCCTTCCTCACCCTTCCATTTCTGTCCATCTGTCTCTCAACTCACAATCAATCTCTCTCTCTGTTCTCAGGAAGATTTAAATGCACACTTTAAAACCCTATTTTCTGGCATTATTCTCCTTCCTTATCTCCTCCTTTGCCCCTGTGGTTAGTCAGCAGAGGCAGGGCAGGAGTAGGGAGGGCTAATGATATGGGGGTGGGGTGGGGTTTGAGGGTCCCCAGGCTGGGTGGTCCAGCCAAGGTGGCAGGGGACTGAAGGGCACTTCCTGCTGGGGAAGGAGGCCCTCACCCTCTGACCAGACTGGAAAATGTGACATCAGAGAGGGGGCAGTAAAGGCGAAAGACAAACAGAGGGAATTTGACACCTCTCCTGGGTGGCTAACTTCCCTGAGACTGGCATTGTTTCCCACTTCCCTCTTACCCGCTACCAATCCAGGGTTCTGACCACGATGCTCCTGGGAGACCCTCATCCCTTCCTCATGCTGGAACCATGCCATCTCCCACCTCTGCTTCATCCCTGCCCCAGCCCTTTCTAGACCTCCAGCCCACAGTAGTCTCAGGACTTTCTAAAGTGCAGATCTGTGATGCCAGTTCCCTGCTTGAACTGTCTCAACTGCTGCCTTTGTGGTAAAGTCTAAGCTTTTAGTCTGGTTGGTATTCAAGGTCCTGCATGGACACTTCTTCAGACAGGCAGAGACAAGCTTGGAGCTGGGAAGAGATGGGAGGAGACCCACAGATAGAGAGATAACTGATTCAGAGAGATACAGAGGCATAGCAAGGGACAAACAGGGGCACTCACAGAGAAAGACAGAGAAACACTCAAGGAGACTAGAGAGAGTGTTTACAGAATGAAAAAATTGGGAAACAGTCTCGGAGATCCAGGTGAGAAGTGCAGACTGGGAGAGAATGAGAGTCTCAGAAGTGACCAGTTCCTAAGGGGAAGCCCTCCTGGATTCCCAGGTTGCACCAAGCTTCCCCATCCCAACCCTGACCCATCTGAGCCGTCACTATCTGACACTGGACCAGGAGCTCTGAGGAAATGACCCGAGACTGCTTATCACCAATGTATCTCTCGCACTGTGGGGCCCTAGGTAAGTTTGCTGAAAGCCTAGAAGGCTATGAGCTCCAGAAGGGCAGGGCCCAGAACCCCTACCTTGGTGCTGAGAACACAGGCTGGAGTCAGAAGAGCATGGGTCTGAGCCTCAGCTTGGCTTCAGCCCTGCCATAGCCCCAGCTTCCTCTTCTGTAGAATGGGTTGCACTCAGCGTGCACTTAAGAGGTCTCCAGATGTTATGGGAACTCAGGAGGGACTGAAAAATGCCCATCTGCATTTCTGTCTGGGTTAATTCTCAAAGCTCCCCACTGTTCCCAGGTGGAGGATGCGCTAAACCTTGCACCCCAAAGAGTGCTTTCAAGCCAAGCCAGCGATGGAAATGAACAAAAATTTATTGACACTCGTTTTGGGGAGGATGGGTGGGTGAATAGTTGGGGGCTTTCCAAAGATAACTATGGGGAGGAGCCAGCGCCCGGCCAAGTGGGAGCGGGTGCCCAGCCACAGACCCTATCTCAGGCCCAACTTCTTCTTCTCTTTCTGCTTCTTGCGCACCACATCCAGGTTCCGGTCCTTCCACATGCTCTTGCGCAGCTTGATGGGGCGAGAGCCCACATACTTCCCTGTGAGAATGGAGATTTCAAGGTCAGGTTTAGGCCAGATGCCATCACACCCACTGTCCCTAGGGGAAGCCTCACTCACCATTCATCTCACGCATGGCTCGTACATAGTCGCTGGGGTCCTTAAAGCTAACGAAGCCATAGCCCTTGGTCTTGCCTGTGCGCTTGTCACGGATCACTTTAGCCTTAAGGAAGGATGGGAAGCGGCTGAAGGCACGTGCCAAGATGTCATCATTCACCTCATTGCCCAGATCCCCACAGAAGATCCGGAAATCATCTGGGGTTGAGAGAAGAGAGGTCAGAGGATGTAGATGCCTGGTCAAGTGTCTGCCTTATTTAAAGAACCTCAACTTCTTTGGAGGCACCTGGCCCCCCCAGCCATCCTCCCTTTGTATCCCTCAGGAGTGGCCCCCTTAGTAATAACAGCCAACACCTGTACAGTATTTACCCGTACTAGGCTGTCCGCTAAGCACTCATGAGGTTAACACATCCGGAACTCCCAACAACCCTTTTACACTGAGGCACAGAGAGGCCAAGTGGCTCAAACAGGAAATGGTAGAACTGGGACAAGAACTCAGGCATCTGGCTCCATAGTTCTTTTAATTAATTGTACTATCCTTCCCCACCCTAGGGACATCTTACCCATTCCCATACCCATTCCCCTAACTCTGTCCCAGCCCTGGCTTCTTCTCTGAGCCCTTGGTCTCCTGGATACCACCCCATGGACATTCCCTGGGTCCCTGACACTGCTGGCTCCCATAATGGCCCCCTAGTACCACAGACTTCATCTTTCCTCAGCTCTGCTTTCTCTGCAAAGCCCACTCTTAATTCCCACTTGAGACCCTGAAACCTGAACACACTGCCTGATCCTTCTCCAAGGCTGACATCAGTTGCCATTTCCAGATATATGCTCTGGGCTGAGCCTCAACTGATCATGCTTATGCCCAAAGAATCTCTTCCCCATGAAGCACATACTATTATTATCCCCTTGTTGGAGATGAGAAAATGAGACTGGAAGTGCTAAGTCACTTGGCCAATGTCACAAATCTAAGATCTACATCAGTGGTTCCCAAAGTGGGGCACACGCCCCATAGGGGGGCAATTCAAGAATGAGTTACTATCTGAATCTTTTGCATTTCTTATGGTTCTAGGGGCCTCATATACATATATAAACATATATGGTGACATATTTATGCATTTTAGTTCTCTATTATATGTTTTGAAACTTTCTATTTTTTCATATCACTTCATATTATATTTTAACAATTTCTTAGTGATTTCTTTCTCAATACTTCAACTGTCCTTTCTTTATTTTTCTCTTCCATGAATGCCATGTTCTTTGGAAGCCTGTGTAGACCAACTTAATGGCCTTTTAGGCTTTCTCCACGTGAATAGGAGTTCACTTTTTGAATAATAAAAATTATATGTCACGAGGTTGGGGGGGCATCAGGATTTTAGAGATGCTTAGGTGGGGCAGGGCCAAAAAAAGGTTGGGAACCACTGGTCTACAACCTGTACTGGTCACATCTGGGCCATGCTGCCATGGCCATGGCCTGGGGTGGTAAACTACCCAAGAAGAACATGTAGAAGTCAAGGGCTGGGATGGGAGGTAGGTACCTTTCTTCACCTACAACTGGGGCTGCCTCATTGTTTCTATGGTAATTAAGGACATGCTAGGCCTGTGGTCAGCAAACTGCGGCTCACGAGCCACCTGTGGCTCTTTGGCCCCTTGAGTGTGGCTCTTCCTAAGCCTTAGGAGTACCCTAATTAAGTCAATAACAATGTACCTACCTATATAGTTTAAGTTTAAAAAATTTGGCTCTCAAAAGAAATTTCAATCGTTGTACTGTTGATATTTGGCTCTGTTGACGAATGAGTTTGCCGAACACTACGCTAGGCCAACCCAGGAGACAATAATCTGACAAACCTTCTACAAGACAACTGGTCTGGACACTTCATATAACTATTATACATAAGACAAGGCAGTGAGAGGGAAACCATTCTCATTAAAAGATAATCTAGAGCCCTAGATTATCAGTGGATAGAGCGTCGGCCTGCAGACTGAAGGGTCCCAGGTTTGATTCGGGTCAAGCGCACATGCCCAGGTTGTGGTCTTGATCCCCAGTAGGGGGCATGCATGAGGCAGCTGATCAGTGATTCTCATCAGTGATGTTTCTCTCTCTCCCTTTCCCTTCCTCTCTGAAATCAATAAAAATATAAAAAAATATCTAGAGGCATAAAACTGTATGTATCCTGATTTGGGGGAAAATGGCTATAACAGATAGTTTGGGGGAGAACTGAGTTAATTTGAATATAAATGGAACATGAGATACCATAGAATTTTTGTTAATTTTCTTAGATGTGTTAATGGTATTATGACATGAAAGAGAATGTCACTTTTCTTAGGAGATGAATACTGAGGAATTTAGGAGTGAAGTGATAACTTAATCTATAACTTGCTTCAAATGATTGAGCAAAAACCCAAAAAGCACATATACACACAGAGAGATAAAATAAATATAGCAAAATAGTTGCTGAATCTAGATGGCATATATGTTGCTCTTCACTGTGCAATTCAGTGTTTAACATTTTTCATAAGAAGTTGGGAGAAAAAGGAATGTTTTCAAGCCAGGCCCCTCATGAATAAAACAGAGGCCAGAAGGTCCTCAGTGCCAGTCACCTCCATCAAGTTCTGTTCAGTGGCTGGATGAGGGCCTGCCCCTCAGAACCGCAGCCTAGTCCTCCATGAGGTGTGCTAACAACCATGCCTGCCCTACAGGAGGCAGTTGTGAAGTTACCTGGTTCATCTTCCCT